TGGCTTGTGCTTCCACCACAAGAAAGTAGAAAATCAAAGAGCCGTTATACCCAAAGTAACCCCCCAAAAGTAAATAATATCATAAAAGCAAAAATCAGTGAAAATAAAATTTTTAAATATGGAAAATCCACAAAACCAAAAGCTGGGTTTTTTTTTTTTTAAGTGGTTTCCACGCCCAGTGTGGAGCTAACGTTGGGCTTGAATTCACAACCTTGAGATCACAACCTGAGCTGAGAATCAGGAGTTAGACATTCAAGGGACACCTGGGTGGCTCAGTGTTGAACATCTGCCTTTGGCTCAGGGCATGATCCCAGGTCTGGGGATCAAGTTCTGCATCGGGCTCCCTGGGAGGAGCCTGCTTCTCTCTCTGCCTATGTCTCTGCCTCTCTCTGTGGGTCTCTCATGAATAAATAAATAAAATCTTAAAATAAAAGAGTTGGACACTCAACTGACTGAGCTGCCCAGTGCCCCTGAAAGCTGATTCTTTTAAGAGTAATAAAATTGATAAACCTTAATCCAGACCAGAGATTTGAATAAATACTACATAAGCCTGTGAAAAGATATTTAACATAATTAATCCTTAGGGAAAACCACAGTGAGGCAGCACCACACAGTCATTACAGTAGCTACAATCAACTCATCATATTGATGAGGATGTGGATTAATTGGAACTCTCGAAGACTGCTTTTTGGGAGGAATTTGGCAATTTCTCAAAAGTTAGACTTGTACATACCATATTACCCAGATATTCTGTTCCTTGGTATTTGTGCAAGAAAAACAAAAGCATGTGTCTACACCAAGATTCTACATGAGTGTTCACAGCAGCTACTATTTGTAATAGCAGAAACTGGAAATAACCCAGATGTCTCTGAATGGGAGGATGGATAAACAAGTTGTAGCTTACCCACATAATGGAATACTACTCAGCAGTAAAAAGGAATCAACTCCTGAGGCACCTGGAGGGCACAGTCAGTTAAGCATCTACTTTCAGCTCAGGTCATGCTCCTGAAGTCCTGGGATAGAGCCCTATGTTGGGCTGTCGCTCAGTGGGGAATCTGCTTCTCTGACTCCCTCTGCCCCCCACCCCTGACTCATGCATATTCTCTCTATCTCAAAATCTTAAAAGAAAAGGAAATGAAATGAAAGGAAAGGAAGAAAAGGAAAAGGAAAGGAAAGAAAAAAGAAAGGAAAAGACCAACTCCTGATACATACCTGGGAATCCTCTCCAAATAACTATACTTTTCAAAAGAAGCCAAACGAGAGTATGTTGTGTGATATAACATATACAATTCTAGAAGTTGCATAGTAATGGATAGACACAGAAGTGGTCACCTGTGAATGGGATAGGAGGGAGGGGGATGTGGAGGAAGAGGGTGCAGAAGGGCATTAGGAAACTTAGAGGGTAATGTTCATTATCTTGATTGCTGTGGTTTCACAGGTGTGTCTGTGTTAGGACTACTCCAATTGCATGCCTCAGTTGTCCAGCTTGGTTATACTTACCTTGGTTATACTTCAGTATAGCTGAAAATGCTTTTAAAAGATTCAGTGTAGTTTATATTTGTACCTCCCATTTAATCACAGATAGGAGAGTAACTATGTGGCAGATACAAGTGTTTGGTTATTTTGGTCAGGTGTATAGTATGCACACGTGGGTATCTTGTAGTAATCTGTTACTTGCTTCATCTGAAGAAAGGCGTGGAGAGTAGAGGTTGACCCCCTTGAGAAGACTAGCTTCATACTTGAGCACATTGGTCAAGAGTTGAGAAGTTTTGACTTTGATTCAGCAGGTGGTCTACCCTCTCCCCAAGGATCATCTGGCCTGGCTCCATGGCTTGACATACCACATGCACTGCTGATCCCGAATTATATATCCCATTGCAGCCTACTCCCGAAGTGTCTTACTTGTGTAGAACAAGCCCGCCATGTTTTTTGGATGTTTAACACAAACTTCATGGTACATCATCTAAAGCAAACCTTGGTTCTTGCCACTGCCCCAGCCTGTCTGGCTGTGTTTGGCATTTCTATTGTTCGTATGCCCACTGTCTAGGCATTCACATCTTCATCACATCCTTGGGTCTTTTGGCAGGCAAGTCTTGTGGTTCTACCTTCAGCACTTGTGAGTCTGACTGCTCTGGACCTCCATGGTTCCTGCCTGCACCTGGACCCACCTAGAACAGCATTACCTCCACCAGAGTTCATTTTTTACACAGTAAAGTTTCCTTTTAAGATGCCAGCTGGCTCCTACCTGTCCTTCTGAGAAATCTTTGGTCTCTTCCCATGGCCCTCAGCCCTGGAGAGCAGCCCCCGCCTGTCCCTTGTTCTGGTGGTGCTCCTGGCCTTCATCTGGGGCCTCAAGCCTGTGCAGGTCCCCACTTGCTGCCTCTGCTTGCAATGCTCTTCTCCCAGATTTTCATGCAGCTGTGTTTGCTTCTGTTGGGCCTTAGCTTTGCTTCACCCATGGTAATATGGTGCCCTCCTCTAGCTCTGCTCTGTATCCTTGCTGAATTTATTTCTTCATGGAGGAATACTTCCTGCCATTGGAAGGCAGGTGCTTATGTCTGAATTTGCCTGTCTGACACCTCTCAGGAAACAGTAGGCCCTTTGGGCTATTCACAGTTCCTTCTTTGATCTAACCTGCTAGGATGCCTGGCACACTGTGTATTTCAGTGTTTATGACAGAGGGGTTCCTCATCACATATTGCTTCCCTGCACTCAGTCCAAGGAAGATTTGTTTCTGCCTTTCCTCCTCTGCTTGTCTCCAATATCTGCCTCCTTCACAGTCTTGTCAGCTCTCCCTGATCCCGTGTTTGCATCTCATCTCTTCCCCACATACAACCTCATTGCCCAGTTAGCACTCCCCCACCTTACCCCTCTGGCCTCCTGCCCCAGGGCCTTTCTGCTTGCTCTTGGGAGTGTCCCTTTCCCGGGTACCTGTATGGCTACTACCAGCCCCAGACAATCAGGTATCTCCTGGAGGGAGTTCTCACTGGCCATCCTGAATGGGAAGCACTGTTCCCAACCCCAGACACTCCTGCCTGCTCTATGTTTTTCTCCTTCTCAGTGACCACTATCTCATGTTCTGTATTTTGTCCTGATCTGTGTCATATGCAGTCTTATCTTTTGCAAGGATATTAGCTCCCCATGGGCAGGGACTTTGTTTTAGTTATTGCTGTGTGCTCAGTGCCTGGATGGGTGCCTTGGCACATGGCGGCTCCCAGTAAATACTGGATGGACAGGCTGCCCGTTATGCAGATGAGCAGATGATCTGGAGCAGAACTGGTTACCCTCAGGTCAGCTCTGGCTCTTCTAATCTCTGGCTTGGGGACTTTGTAACCTTGAAGCCCAGCAGCTCCTTCTCTGAGTAAAAAGATGGCCTAGAAAGATCTGAAGGCTGTGGCTATTCTATTGATGATGGGTTGTTTTTTTATAGGCCTAGGGACAAGAGATGGTTTTACATAGGGTTAAATCAGTGTGGTTTTTGAAATTGTCTTATTTTCTACATCTGGATTTGTTGGGACAGAGAAAGACATCTCCCATGGTATTCTGTGGTTTGAGGAGCAGTCTGGAGTTTTCTGGAATACCACTCACTGGGATATAGTACTCTTCCCTTGACACACAACCCACACATTCAAGTGATTGCTGAGTGGGGTCTCGTTAAAACCATGGAACCTGCAGATGTGACAGGTTTGAGTAGTTTTGGTCACTGGATTATAAAGCAGGTAAGAATATATGTGCAAGTCTTAGTGATGCTGTTATTCACTCCTTTCATCATTCATTCATCTTTCACCCTGGCATCCCCTACCCACCCCCTGTGTAAGTACCTGGTCACCTGCCAGCCATCCTGGGTTTTAGAGATGGAGCCTGTGGAGCCGGTTGTGTAAATGCACACTTGTAGTCCAGTGAACAAGCACAACCAAAGACCTATGTGAGCCTTGGAGCAGGAGAACAGAGCCTTCGAACAGGAGAACAGGGAGAGCGCCGAGGGCTGAGGGAAGAGCTGGGCTGCTGGCTGGGCAGGCCTGGGTAAGGTACTGGAGGAGCTTCTGGGTAGAACTGGAGACTTGGTAAAATACCTTGAGGTTCCAGCATGAATAACCTTGGCATCGGTCCTGGTCCTCTTTACACTCCCCTGTGCCACATGTCCTGTGGCAGAGGACAGCATTGGAGGCCTGGGGGGATTTCTGTAGCCTTGATCCCACATGTGCTTTGGCTTGGAACCATGGCAGAGCTGTGCCTGACTCTGGAAGGTCATGCCTGGCTTCCCTGCTCATGTGCTGCCCAGGTCTGCCTCTCTTGAACCCCTCTTGAGAATTTGCAGGATGGTTCCTCTCTGCAGATGACACATCTTGGGCTCACATTGATTTGGATTAAAGTCTTGGCCCCTGCTTGCTAACCTTACTACTTTAGGCGTGTTTTAAATATGTTTGACCCATTTGTGTGTTCTTGAAGCTAATTTTCCTTTTCTGATGGGTGATGGAAAATCTTTTGAAGAGAATCTAGGGCAGTGATCTTGCCTCTTACCTATTTAAAAAAGCAGACATTGAAATTGAGTAACTAGAGATGAACTGAGCAGCACTGATGCTGAGCCAGAAGGGAAGCTGGGTCTTGGATTTGTGGTGCCGCCAGACTTCTCTAACGCTGATCTTGCCTCTAGAACTGGAACACTCCCCTCTGACATGGTTGGGGGTTTGTACACACACCTAGGCTGGAATTAATGCCTTGGGTGTGACCCCTCGTATGCACACACCTCTGGAAGAGTGGCTTTAAACTCTGCTGGGCAGTTTTCTTAACTCCTACTAAGATGTTCTTTATGGTCCTTCTCTTTATTTGGAGTATTATGGGTTTCTAGTTCACTAGATAGAATTTTATTTAACAAATTCCCTATTTGATGCTTATGTAAACATACATGTACATTATCATTTAAAACTATATTGTATTTTTAAATGATCTTGGCTTTGTGGATCATGTTTTGAAAATAGAATTTTCTTTTTCTATTCCAGACTCCTTTTAATTTTGGCATGAATCATAGAACACCACCCTACCCCGCTGGGGATTATTGCCTTCTGTGCAGAAGTGAGCGGAAAGACTCTTCGTTCTTAGAGAGTGGAATTAAGACTGCAAGCAAATTGGCCCTCTCCATGGCTCCCAAGGGCAACAGCGTGCTGCACCTGCCACTGTGGGTGTGCCCAGACTGCCGGCGGGCTGTGGAGAAGGAGGAGAGGCCCAGCAGCCTTGATCAGCCGTCGGTGAGTGCCTGGCACAGAACACATGGGCTTGCTTGTTGGCTTCCTTACCCTGTGGATTACAGAGCTGATTGATTGGGCAGTGAAATCATGAATTTGGGTTAGCTTTTTGGAAGGAAACCCCTCTTGCGCCATCTTCCGGTCCGTTGTTCCACCCTCTGGGGTTTTCGTCCTGGTCTTCTGTAACACACCTGCAGTGGGTAGTAGGGGACCTGCCCTCCCTGGTCTCATAACTTGGTCAGCGAGCTCAGGGGGCCCAAAGGATGTGTTTTGGCTTTTTTAAGTCTGGCCTCAGGATGGCAGTGCCATTTTTCTGGAAAGCTCAGAGACTTCTTAAGAGCATTTGGTTCTGGCTGGTTCCATGTGCTAGTAACTCACCTGAAATGTTTTCCCAGATGCAGTTCTCAGGTCGGGTTTCCCCACCCTGTTTTTTCCTCATTTCTTGCCTCAGCAAAATGGAGGCATTCTGAGGCCTTCAGGCATACATGGGAAAGCCACAGCCTTAGTCTGCTATTTGGGTTCTAGAAGGAAGTACTTGACTTTTGCAACCAGGTAAGGTCCCACATTGTAGGGCTTCTCTGTTCCTTTTATTTTTGCCTGTGAGCAGCTACCAGTTTCCTGAGCTTTTGTCTTCAGATACCTCCCTACATCAGGCCACCACCACCATGCTCTGTTCTCTGCTGCACCCGGGGACTGCTGTCCAGGGCAAGTGTGCCACTGTGGTGAATAGTCATTGTGAGTCTCCTTTGTCTCTGGTCTCATGGCCTCATTCCTGACTACCTCTATGCCAGTGACTTCTGTCCTAGGGTTTCCATGAAGGTGATGCCTCCAAACACATGCCAGTGTCTGCACTCAAGATCTCGTCATTTATTGGAATAAAAATTGATGTCTCACCCCACCTCCTCTTGCTTGCTCCCTTCTCCTGTGTGTTCTCTGCTGTGCCTCTTTCTGATATACAGCACATTCAGCTTCTTCGTCTTGCTTAGCTCCTTCACCGGAATCGACATTCCACAGGGGTGGCTGTTTTTGTCCATTTTCTAAGCAGGAACAGTGCCTAGCCTGGCATATTTTAAGAAACCCAAATATTTGAGTTAGTGAATGAATGAGCATGGAAGTGAATAAATGGTGGAACCCCCTCAGTAGGATTAAAAAGATGGCATAGTCGATCTTAAGTGTTTTACCATCCAGTCCTCTTGCTTTCATCATTTTATTGTTTTACTTTGTTTCTTTTCTGTGTCCTTTTAATGTCTGTGGCCCTTGCTCTGTCCCCTGTTGCTGTCCCCTGCCCTGGCTGGAAGCACTGCCTGTGCTCCCTGAACTTCCAGTCTTGGCTTCTCTGCCTGAGTCTGCTCCTCTGTTTGAGCCCAACTGTGCCTTTGGAAGAAGGGTGGCTGTTGTTCAGGCTGGTTTGGGAGACAAGTAGAAATAGCAGTGATTTCCCAGAAGTTGCCCTGATGCAGGGGTGGCCTCATTCCCTAACTCCATTTGTCCTGGATAATGAATCGTCAGAGGAGGCTTTTTCTCATCAAAAACGTGAGGGGATCCCTGGATGGCTTAGCAGTTTGGCGCCTGCCTTCAGCCCAGGGCATGATCCTGGAGTCCCGGGATAGAGTCCCACATCGGGGTCCCTGCATGGAGCCTGCTTCTCCCTCTGCCTATGTCTCTGCCTCTCTCTCTGTGTGTCTCATTAATAAATAAATAAAATCTTTAAAAAAAAAAAAGTGACGCTGGCCGCCACAGAGGAAATGCTGGCCTATGTTTGTAGACTTTGTTCTTCTGCTACTTTTGTGAGGTTGTTGTCTTTGTTCAAGCCAGCTAAGATTGCTGGCCTTTAAAAAAAAAAAAATGAGGTATAATTTACATCTAGTAAAATTCTTTTAAATTGTGTATATATTTCAGTGAATTTTGACACATTTATATAGTTATGTAACTACCATGACTGCAGTTGAGATGTAGAACATTTCCTTCCCCCCAAAAGTTCCCTGGTCACATTGGGAGGCATGCCCTTCCCCCTGTCCCTTGTAACCGTTGACTTGATTTCTGCCCCTGGTTTTGCTTTTCTAAATGTCACATAGACTCCTTCCACTAGTCATAATGCTTTGGAGAGCCATGCAGCAGTAGTTTGTTCTGTTGCTGGAGAAGTTGTAGAGATGCACCACGCTTTGTTTATCCATTCACCACTGATGGGTGTTTGAGCTGTTTCCAAATTCTGACTATTTTGCATAAAGCTATGTGAAGCTTGTAGAGGTCCTTCTCTAGACATTTGTTCTGCATGTTGCTGGAATGATTTGCTTTTGTTGGTTAAGGACTTTTTGTCTGGGCTCATGAAGGATGTTTGCCTGAAGTCTTGTCTTTAATGTCTTTCAAGGCCTCATAAGATGAGTTGAGATACGTTCCTGCTTCATCTTTTTTTCTGGAAGAGTTTGTGTAGAATTTAGTATTATTTCTTCCTTAAGTGTTGTTGGTTCTTGCTTTCTGTGTCTCTCAAACTGTTAGGTGGGATGCCAGGCAGGACATGGAAAAGACCGCAGGGGGATCCCTGGGTGGCGCAGCGGTTTGGCGCCTGCCTTTGGCCCGGGGCACGATCCTGGAGCCCCGGGATCAAATCCCACGTGGGGCTCCCGGTGCATGGAGCCTGCTTCTCCCTCTGCCTGTGTCTCTGCCTCTCTCTCTCTCTCTCTCTGTGTGGCTATCACAAATAAATAAAAAAATTTAAAAAAATTAAAAAAAAAAAAGGAAAAGACCACAGGGCTGAGAGGGGCCTTACTTGGCAGTCACCCTCATGCATACCTGGGGGCTGGGGCAGTCTGGTCAGCGCTTCAGCTGGCCTGGCTTTGCTCCTGTTGCCTTCACACACTTATTTCTGTAGCAGCGTATGTGGGCTGGGGAGGAGTCTCCCTTCATGTTCCAGCCCCCTCTGTGTGGCAGTGGGCCACCCTTACCTCCCCTTCAGCACGAGACTCCCACCCTGGTATCTTCCCTGTGCCTGGGGCTCCAGTGCAGCTCTGCTGGTGATCCTGTCCCCTTGTGATAGAAGCCAGAGTCTACCAGTATCTCTAGAAGTTTTGGGTGGGATACACCCCCAGAGCCTCCTTGGAATGGCTGACCTGTGTCTGTCTCCCACAGTGGAAAGCTAGATGCCCTCCTGTCAGTGGATCAGGCCTGTGCCTCAGGTGGAGGGCGCTTGCCACCACTGCAGCAAAGCTGCTTCCTTCCAGAGCAGGATCAGGCCTTCTCTGACGTGGAAGATTATCCTGGATGCCCCGGCACCTTGCCTTTACAGTTCCATGCTATAGACTCCCTCCATTCCCGGACCTTGTGCCCGGACACTCAGGAAGTCTTCCCTCCAGACATCCTCATCCCTTTCACACTGGCAGGTCCCTCTGACTGCTCCATTCTCCAGCAGCCAGAGTCCATGACTCAGCATTGCCATCACTTGCTTGCAAAACCCCATCCATGAGTCTTTTGCCTAGGACCTGGCTCACTGGCTCAGCACTACCCCTCCCTCCACCTGGTAGAGTGTTGCTGGAGAAAGCTGCAGGCCTCTGCTCCCTGCTGCCCATTGACATCGTGGTTCCGGGCTGTGGACAGGCATCTGGCATGTTGCTCTGGCTTTGTACCTGACCGCAGAAGGGTGTGAACCTTTCCTCTCCTTTCTTCCCAAACTCCCACAACCTCTTTGCCTTGCTCAGCTCAGCAGCTGACCTCACACGCCAGGGACACTCAGGCCCTGGCTCATCTGCCACCCCACAGTTGGGGGAGGCCCGCCCTCCCTGAGGCTTTCAGGTGCCTCTCCCCTTTCGTCTTCTCCAGGACTTTGTTGTTCTGGTGAGTCTTTTCTTCTTGGGCGCCACAGATCTTTTCTTCTGTCCTGCCTCATGCCCAGGAAAGTACAGATGCTCTAGAATTGTCTATTTTTCCAATAACCCGCCTCTGACCTCGTGGTCCCTCGCAACCATCACTCTCGCTCCTACTCCCGTTGCAGGTGTGCACATCTCTGGGAAAATAATAAACTCCTAGTTCAGTTTCCTTTGTGGTAAGAGATTTTCCATTTCTTTTCCAGTTAGTTTTGATGAATTACATTCTGAGAAATTAAGAGTTCCTGGTACAAAATCGTGTAGAGGCCGTGTGTTCATAACTTATTGTACTTACACATACAAATCTTTATCCTTATATTTGTGCTCTTTCTTTTTTGAACGAGTCTTGCTAGAAGTCTGTCCGTTTTGTCTTTTCAAAGAACTTTTTAACTTAAAAAAATCTTTCTGTTTTCATTAATTACTGCTATGTGTGTATAGACTTGATTAGTCAGTGCTGTGGCAAGTGTGGTGAGACTTTGGGAGCACAGCCAAAAGTAGTGCCAACCAGTCCCCCTGTGTCTTGCAGAGGCTTCCAGTGTGGGCAGGTTCTTGTCTTTTCCTCCAGATATATTCTTTTCTGAGTATTGAAAGGTAGTGATGACAAACACCACAGTGTCCTACATTGTACACACCTGTCAGTATGTAGAGGCATGGGGTTCTCTAACTTTCTTCTCCTTGGAAGAAGGGCATGGATGCCATGGCAAGGTGAGGTGCACATTGATGGAGGGTGCTGTCCATTTCCAAGCCTCTTCTGAGGGTTCTTGATAAAGGTATCCAGGGTGCCTGTGCTGCGGTACCAACTGCTTCTGGGAGTTGCATTCCTTGCAGATGTCACCTTGTGGGAAATCTTGTGGGAACCTGAGCCTGCCTAGGGGCAGGCAGGGGGACAGTCTTGTCCCACTTTCTGGCTTCCAGGCCAGGAGCCACCAGATATTGTCATGCAGTTCCTGTTGTTCATGACTACAAATCTGGTTTTTTTCTTCTCTGTGGTAGCTCTTTGCCTTCCTGAGTTTTCACCCACCGTTTTTATCATTCTTCTCTGATAGTCACTGGAAACCTCTAATTGCTATACTAGATTTTGAAATGTTAGTTACATTGGCTCAATTTTAAGTATTTTTTTTTCTCTTCTTTTCCATTTTTATTTTT